TGGTGGTGGGTGCTGAGGGGGTGGGGGACAGTGAAGACGGGTACTATAGAGGTTGGGGGAGAGCTAGGGCAGAGCTAGGACTAGGATTCATCTCAGTCATTCCTGCCTCCTGTCCTCCTGCCAGCCCTGGCCTTGAGGGCAGGGGCGTGCAGTAGACAGTGCTTCTCTCCTGGAGCCTTAGGGACGGCCCTGGTGGGTCCCTGACCGGGGTCTCAGGAGTCTCCTAAATCAGCGTTTGGCTTTTCTTGTAGTGGGTGTTTGTAGTCTGTTGGCTTTTTGTTGTCAGCGAAGCATCTAGCCAGCTCCTTGCTCTGAATTTTTCATAGAAATGTTTGAGTTTAAATCATCCTTCGCTTCTGTGCTGTCGGTCCCTCTTCTACCTGTCCCCAAAGGTTTTGGCCACTTGACCAGGCAGCTGATGACGCTGGCAGGGGGCCGGGTGGTGCTGGCCCTGGAGGGAGGCCATGACCTGACCGCCATCTGTGATGCCTCGGAGGCCTGTGTCTCCGCCCTGCTCAGCGTGGAGGTGCGCGCACCAGGGGGGGGGGGGCAAAGGGATAGCCTGGGCCTCAGGTCACACAGCAGGGTGGGCAGGGTGCCTTGAAGTCTTTCCACAGACCATGTGGGGTGTCAGGGGTGGGTCCTCGCCCACTTCCCACCCTAAGTCCTGTCTTCTTTCCCCGCCAGCTGCAGCCCTTAGACGAGACGCTCTTGCAGCAGAAGCCCAATGTCAACGCAGTGGCCACGCTGGAGAAAGTTATAGAGATCCAGAGTGCGTGGGGATGGCTCGGGGTGCTGCCCTCAGCTGGCCAAGGGGGTGGCAGTGCTGGAGGGAGCCCCTGGGCCCTAGGGTGGTCATGCCTGCGTGGGAGTGGGCTGCCCTCCCTAACCCCCAGCCTCCCCTGCTGCAGGCAAGCACTGGAGCTGCGTGCAGAGGTTTGCGGCAGGGTTGGGCCGTTCCCTGCGGGAGGCCCAGGCCGGCGAGACTGAGGAGGCCGAGACTGTGAGCGCCATGGCCTTGCTGTCCGTGGGGGCCGAGCAGGCCCAGGCTGCCGCCAGCCTGGAGCATAGCCCCAGGTGAGGCTCCTTCCCCAGCGCCCACCTGCCAGCCCCTGCCCTAGGCTGCCCTCCTTTCAGCCTTCATGTGCTTGTCCCCACAGGCCGGCGGAAGAACCCATGGAGCAGGAGCCTGTCCCGTGACACCCTGGCCCCCACCCCTCGGGGCTTCATCATTGTGATTTTGTTTATTTTTTCTATTAAAAACAAAAAGTCACACATTCAACTATGCGTGCCGTGTGGGTCTCTCAGCCTCGCCCCTCCTGCTCCTCCAAGCCCCCGGCCCCCACCGCAGTGTTTCCCACACTGACTCGCCTGCATTCCGTCTTTTCCCCTCGGAGTCTGGGCCAGCTCAAGGTGGCTTGGAGGCTGGGGCAGTGCCCTCCGGTTTGGGATCTCCCTGAGGGAGAGGGAACAATAAGTTTTGTGCCTTGGCTTCAGTGGATTTTGGGGGAAATGCCTTAATTTCACCCTCCTTCCTCTCCAGCCTCAGGGGAGGGCTGGGGGTGTCCCGACCACACCCAGGGGGCTGGAGTGGAGGTGGGCTCCATCCCCTCCTCTCTTGCTATCAAGCCTCACCCCTCCTCTCCTGCAGAGGGGCTGGGCTCGGGCCTGCACTCCTGCCCAGCAGGTCTTCACTCCTCCCGGGCTGTAGGGTTGGGGTGGGGTGGACTCCTGGGGCCTGAGGAGCCAGGAGCTGCAGAAGTAGGCTTCCCTGCCCCTCGCCTGGCAGCCAGGAGCCTGGGAGAGTAGTTGCTACAGGGGCCTCCTAGCTGGCGAGAGCCCCCTCTGCAGGTCAGGACCAGACTTCCCCCAGCCACTTCGAGTGCCCAGCTCGAATTGTCAGGGGCCCCGCCTCGTTCCTTCCCTAGCTTTGGTGAGAGTGGGGGTCCTTGACAGCACAGGCCAGGCCATCAGCTGGGCTTCCCTCTCCTGGGTTCCCACCACTGGCCTCCAGCGAGGCAGGTGGGAGCAGGAGGTAGCAGTCAGTCTCTCCCTCCCCAGGGGCGGGGAGCCCACAGGCCTCCAAGGCCTGCTGTCCCACTGTGAGGAAACCAAAGATGGGCAGCGCTCCTGGCTCCTGGGAGTCTTCTTCCACAAGGCCATGTACTTGCTCCGCACCCCCCACCCCCGTCTGTTTACATATCAGTGATGCTAACGGGGGGCCTGAGCCAGGGGAGGTCAGTTCATTGTGCAGTGTGCTGTATGGGGCGCTCCAGATCCTCCTGGGAAGCGGGCTGCCCAGTGTCCTCAGCCGTCCCAGGCTCCAGGCCCCTCCCTCCCCTTGCCTGTGGCCGGTCTGGTTCTCATGTAACCCCCCCTTTCTTGCTTTGTGGCCCTGGCTGTGGGCTTCGGTTGAGCAATTTGTAACGTGTTGTACGCTGTGTGTCCTTGTGTAAATAAACGTGTTTCTGGCAGCGCCTCCTGGGGCCGATGTCTCTGTTCTCTGGGCTCCCAAATGGAGATCTTCTCCAACTGCCTGGTTAAGGGAAACGGCTCTGCTTTCCTCTCGCTGGAAAGATCTGGAAGCCGGTTTAGTAAACAGGTGGGATGATGGGTTTCTGCCAAGGTGTTGCAGAATGGAGCCCAGGCCGAGGTGAATGGGCAAGGCTCCGGCCTGGGAGATCTCCACTGAGGAGTGGGCCACCTCGCCAGGGTCCACACAGAGGCAAGACAAGCAGCCGAAGTGCTCACAGAGTTTTATTGGGGCCACTGGAGGGCCCGCTGGCCTTGCCATTCCTCTGCCTGCTCCCCCACTCCCACCCCCACCCCCCGGGAACTTGGGAGGAAAGACTGGAGGGAGACGAGGTTCTCTGGGAGAGAAGGTGCTCTTGGGGCTAAGCCCAGGTGCTGGGAGGAGTTGGGGAAGTTCAGGGGGCAGAGGGCCAGCTGGGAGCTGTACACATGGAGGAAACGGGCTGGAGTGTGGAGGTGGAGTGGGGTCTGGTGGGAAAGCGGGAAGGTCAGCAGGAGCGGGCAGGTGGGGCTTCCTGGGCACTGATCATGTACACCACCCAGGGCACAAGGGCCAGGACCAGGCAGGGCCAGAGGGTGAACTTGAGGAAATTGAAGATGTAGAAGAGGCTGATCTGAGGTGGGTAACCCAGCCATTCCAAGGGGCCCAACAGCACCATGGCCAGCGCAAAGCAGGCCAGCTTCTGGCTATTGTCCAGGAGTGCCCGCCGGACCTGAGCGTAGCACGGGGAGTGCAGGGCGATGCCCAGGCCCAGCGAGGCACCTGAGACACGGCTTAGGGCGGCAAAGGGACGGCTGTCCACGTGGACCCACTCGGGCCGCTCACACCACTTAGAAGCTAGGTTGATGGACCTGTCATGAGGAAGCAACAGTCCCCTGGAACCTAGAGGGCCCGGTTCTTAGTCGCCGCGCTTTGGAGCCTGGCCCAGCATTGTGCTGGGAGCCCAGGAAGGCCTTTTCTGTATCCTTTGTTGGTCACATTGAACCCGGGAACTCTCTACCAGGTGAGGGAGCACAGACCCCCGCTTGCCCTATCTTCAGAGCAGGACTTACCAGGAAAGATCCAGGCCCAGGGTCAGGAGGCTCCAATAGATGAGGCTGGCACCCAGCAGGAGGGCGAGTGAGGTCAACCCGTAGAAGCTGAGTTCCCGCTCCATAGGAACCCGTGGGGTCATCAGCCAGCCCAGGACAGCACCTAGGGAGACGAGAGACATGGCCAGGGAGCTTCGGTTTGGAAGAACGGGCTGAAAGACAGGAAGGGCCCTGGGTTGGCTGGACAGAAGTGAGGGCAAGTTTCATAGGGGTCCTCCCGCCACCAGAGGCATCCTCTCCGGAGGCCCACTCTCTGCCACTGGAGTTACTTACCAGCTACTAGGCCAGCCAACACCTGGTGAGGAAAATGTGCTAAGATGAAGACCCGAGACAAGCCGATGGCCAGGAGAAAGGTGCAGTAAGCCAGGCAGGGCATCACGCGCACCCAGCGGCTGGAGAGGAAAGGCAAGGCAAATGGCTCGCGGCTGTCCACGCTGCAGCCTGGCCACCCATTGCACGCAGGCAGGCCAAACGCCCCAGTGTGCGCGGCACTCTAGCTCCCTGGCTGCTGGTCTCTGGACTCAGAACCCATCATCCCACTCCATCGTAGCAAGGCTGGGGCATACTTGCGTGTCCGCGTGACCAACTGTGAGGAGATGGCCATCATCATGGGCCAGAGGGCTGCTCCTGTGATCATGCAGTGTCCCGAAGGGCTGCCTGATGGAGAAGTCAGAAGCTCGTGGTAAGAGGATGGGCTGGCACCTGGGTGCTCCTGGCTTACCACCCGCTAACACCCCCCACCCCCACCCCCGTGCCCAAAGCAGCTTTTCCTCCCCAGAACCATTCCATAGGCTGCTCTGCCCTGGGGACTTTTAACCCATCTCCTCCACTTTTAACCCATCTCCTGGTACACTGGATGCAGTCTTGCTGGGGTTTCTTTGTTCTTAGGGCTGGTAGCTGTGAGGCTGGGCATGTGGTTGGGTCACCCTGGCTCATGCTTAGATGGACACTGACCACCTTGGGATAAAGAAGAGGTTGAGGTTTCCCACCTGGCCCAGTCTCGCAAGAAGAGGGGAACTGGTGGACCCGGGCGGGGGCCTGGCTGTAGTATCCAGATTCATGGACCCACCAGAAGGGTCTGTCTCCAAAGAGGATCCTGGGAGAGAACAGATGCAGGACAACATCAGGGGCAACCCAGGCGGGAGGAAGCACAGCTGGGCACCTCTGTCCCCTGAAGAGCCTGGGCCTAGAGTTGGGATGTTCACTACGGTAATTCCCTGCCACTACCCTTCTGTGGTTTCCTCGCTTGGACAGGACATTGCATGTTATTTTCTAAGGGCAATGGGAGGCGACAGATGTGGTGGTGGTGGTGTGTGTGTGTGTGTTCCAAAGTTAGCTCTTCTCATCCACAGAGTGTTTGAATAGGGGCGAAGGGGGTGGGCACGGAGGCCGAGAAAGCGTTAAGCAGGGCAAAAATTCCACGTGCCCTGGCTTAGCCGGGTGGCTGCACCAGACAGCCCCACACGGAAGGCTGCTGTGGCCAGGAGGAAAAAGGGTGGGAGGGCAGAGCAGATGTAAGCAGGAAGTTGGGCGATGGGGAAGGAGGTGCAGGAGGGATCGGACACCTCAGCAGAAAGGGCCTAGCTTCACATGCACCAGGTGCGCAAGGCTTAAGTAGTAGCCCCTACATGGTCCTGGGGGCCAGGTGGGGAGGAAAGAGGGGACATTAGAGTTCCACTGAGGAGTACAGGGATGGAACCCTTTGGGGAACTGGAGGCTTCTACAAACTGGGGGAGATAACGCACAAAAGGGCAACAGCACCTGCTTTTCCCTTTCCAGTAGGGAGAAGGGGCAGGGAAGGGCGAGTCAAACTCTTCCCAAGAACCTCGTGAGGGCAGGTGGGGCTTGCACGCCCAGGTGGCACACAGAGATAAGCCCCAAGGGCCCCAGTGTCCCCACCCACTTGCCTGGGATTCCTGGCTTCTGAGGCTCAGAGCAAGGAGCCCACCAACGAGTAAGGGAAACAAGAAAGCTCTCCCTGGACAGCAATCCTTCTCAAACTTGACAGTGCCCACAAGTCACCTGGGGACTTGGTTAAAATGCAGACTCTGATTCAGGAGTTCTGGGCTGGGGCTTGGGCGGCTGCATTTTTAGCAGGTACCCAAACCCAAGTGTCGCCTGGGTTCAGTTGGCAAGACTTTAGCCTTTTTTGGTCCTTAGCTCCTTAACATCACCTCAAACAAATCACTCAGTAAATGAAGGAAGAAGTGGATGCCAGTTAAAGTGCAGACCCCCTAGCGCCCACCCCCCACCCGGGAGTTTATAAATCAGTAGGTCAGAGGTAGGGGTGGGCATTAGCATTTTAAACACAGCCCCTTCAGTGGTATCTTTGGTCCTGGGGGAACACTGATGTCCAAGTCCAAGATGAACAGCGATGCTCACAAGCAGAAAGAGGGCAGCGGCGAGGTGTTAAGGCCGTGGGTTCAATGCCGGGGGAGGGGTCCCGGTGGAAAAGGCACACCTCTGAGACACGTGCTGACAGAGGTCAGGGCCCGCAGGCCTGGGGGCTGGGGGTGGGACTCGGCTCTTGGCTCTCTCACCACTTGAAGACGAGGTTGAGCCATTCAGTGATGAGGCTGATCCAGAGAATCGCGACACCCACGCGGCGGGAGACGTAGTAGGCCGCGGGAAAGTAGAATATGTAGAGGCACTTGGGGTCGCCCAGAAAGGTCACCCAGAGCCACACGTTCTCCATCCCCAGCATCTGCTTCTGCAGCGTCTCGGCTACCGCGATGCCCGCACTCAGCGCCGACTCCATGGCGACCCAGGAAAGGCCAAGCCGCGAAGTTGGGGCTAGGCTTGGGGCCCGAGAAGCCCAAGCCACCAGGAAGGGGCAGCCAGTAGCACCCCTCCCCCCAGGCCCCCAGCGGCGCAGGCCCCGCCCACCCCACCGGCTGCCGGCGCGCAGGCCCCGCCCCCGGCGATCCGGATGCGCGCGCCCGAGCAGTTCCCGTCGGCGGCCTTCCCAGAGCCTCCCCGCTACTGGGCAGCGCTGGGGACAAACCTTTGCGACGCGTTTCCGCAGAGCCCCACGTGGCCGTGGCTGCCGGCACGTGGGCAGCGGGCGCAGAGGCAGCAGCGGCGCTGTTCCGGGTCAGGGAACACACTAACCCGCCGGGACCAGCATGCCTTCCAGACTTGAGCCCTTTTTTACAGGAAAAAAAAAAGAAAAATATGGAATTTCCTAGAGAGAGGGCTACAGCTACTTCCTCCCCCGGGAATCCAGGCTTACATTTGCCCTACACGCTGACCTAGGTGATGCGTCCACGCCTGCCTCCGACTTCCCCCTACCCTATCTGCCATTGATTTGAGACCACGTCCCTAAAAAAACAACAAAAAAAA